TGTGGTTGTGGTATGTAGTCAAAGCAAACTTACTGAATATTGGTTTGGGATTTTGCTTTTCTGGTACTTAGATTTCTGAAGAATGAGTGAAGGCTTCTCATGTTGCTTGGGGACAAACATGAAAATATTCAAAGCATGCTAGATATTGCTGAAACATTTGCGAAGTATACCATGTGGTCTGCTGTGTCCCCACACACACCTTTTGGTGAATCTTATCAATTTCTGTGGTTGTGGTATGTAGTCAAAGCAAACATTTGCAAAGTATACCATGTGGTCTGCCGTGTCCCCACACACACCTTTCGGTGAATCTAATCAATTCCCCAAGTGTTTATGGAATAAGGGTAGCTTGTACCTGTACAAGTAAACGTGGTGGTGTCTGTTTTATGCAGAAATCAAATTGCTATTTTAAAACTCACTTGAAAAAACAGGTGGGGGGACAAATAAAAGGGAGATGGTGTTAAATACACAATGTAGATGTTTAAAAAAAAAAGATTTCTTAGCTAAAAATGTTGATGGTCCATAATGATGGTCTGAAAAGTTGCATAGCTCTCCCTTGATCACTTATGTATGTGAATTATGTCCTGCAACAACAAACTAGCTGATGGTGTGAGGATCTCCCGAATAACCTTCAGAAGTACATGCAACATTTTAAATTCTTTCTGAACCATAACCAGTTTTGAAGACTTCACTAGTAATAAGAGTTTCTACTAATAATGAGAACTAAATTTTAAATTTTCACTATATTCAGTTTATAATTAAATAAAATACTATCATATTTATAGTTAATTTTTCAGTTTACCTTTAATCTTTCTATCCATTAAAGTCCAATTGTTTTGCTACATTTGAATAATTTCTCTCTTCTGCAGCAACCTTCAACTTTTGCTGTAACTTGGTATAGTAAAAGACACCCTGTTCTCTGCTGAGCAAATAAAAGGGTTGCTTTTTTTTCTTGATACTCTTAAACTAGTTCTTGTCCAGAAAGCAAGAAGCTGATTTTTCTGTTCCAACTCTGGATGACGTATTTCTCTTCATGGCAGTAGTAGAAATAATTGGGTTTTGGTATGTTCACTGGGCTTTCTCTTGAATTAAAATATCTGAAGGAATAGGGACTGATGACATGAAAAGGACATTTTTAATGAGCTTTGTAATCTGAATAATTAATTTGGAGTATTGTAAAACTGTTCGTTACCACCAAGAGGGACATGATTTCCTAATGATGCTTTCTGTTCATAAGCTTTAAAATGCAATGTAGCCAATCTGCCTTTATTTGCATACAAATGTATGTCAAAATCTAAGTGCTAACGTTTGTATGTGATCCTGTTTCTCCAGCAGCAAAAAACCACAAGTCTTAAATACTTCAGGTTTTTATTCTGTGCTTAAAGTATGGGCCATGACTGAAATATGAATTCTGAGCAGCTTCTTAGTGAGTTTTGTTCTTGTTGGTCATTGCTGCCCTCATGCTTTTTTCAAGAGTCCTTCAGATTATAAAGTTCTTGGAAATAATGGTTTGAATGGAAAGAAAATGCTTCATTTGTTCAGTTTTGAACTTTCAATTTTAAATGTTTAACTCCTAGTGTTTCCAGCTTTGTACGCAAAACTACTGAAAAGATTGGCACACTTCATATAAGTCCTGATACTAGGGGGAGGCAAGAAGCAAAGGATGACGAGCAACTGCAGGAGATAACTGTTAATCTCCTAACATCTCCCCAGGAAGAGAAAGAGTGAGTGTGAAATCATGTTTTCTTAGCAATTGCATTTGCTGGGGATTCTGAGAATAGCAACCTAAAGGGAAAAACTACAATTTCAGGTACAACAGGGAGCTCAGTGTTAGGTTTTTCCAGGGGCCTTCATTACTATGGTGGGTTTCACTGGTTCTCACTGACACTCCATTCCTAGAAGCTGGTTAGGCAGTGAGCGCTTCTGGGGGGTGAAGCATGCGGTCTCCACAATGCTGTGATAACTGAAGAGTGAGAACGTAGTGTATTACACAATACACTGATCTGTGATGCTCCTTATAGTTAATGGGCAGGAGTCCCTAAAAACTTCTTTTTTTTTTTTTTTTTTAAATAATGGTAGTTATAAAACATTGAATTTCTTTTAATGGTTGTCCAGTTAATACAGAGCTAAGTTATTTCAGATTCCAATGATCTGCTAACTTACCATTTTGGACTAACTTTCATATAGTGGCACAATACTGGTTTTTGTTCAGTACCTTTGCAAATCTACTGTAGTTGGAATAGGAGCCATTATAGAACGCCACGAAAATAGTATTATCCGGTGCTCTTCATTCCCAATTCATCCATAATTTCTGTTGAGCTGTTCCTTCTTTATAAATGAAACCTTTATATTTTTTAAATAAAGGAATTAAATGTTTCCTCACAAATTTGAGGAAATTTGTCAGGAAATCTTAAGTTATTAAAGATAATACTTCAGGTAATACTGAAGTTAATGTGTTTTTTCTAGGTTAGAACCACTGAGCTGTCAGCTTCCAGAGGAAGACCATCTGAGAGATCTCAAGGCTGCAACAGCAGAAGCCATGTAAGCAAGGAAATGTTTTAGTATATAGATATGTTGGGCTTTGGTAGAAATTTTTTTTAAATTTTTTTTTCTTTTAAATGTCTGTTAACATAATCTGAAGGGTTCTCATTTGATTAATGATTTGTTTCCCCTATTTAAAAGCAAGCAAAACCCACTAAAAGCTTATTTAGGTACTCTAGCATTATCCTTTTCTGAAAAAACAACACCAAAGCCACCTGACAAACAAAAATCCTTTCTGAAACAAATCTTGGGGAACTCAGAATGTACTAAAATCAAATGTAGACAGTGTAAGTAGCCTAAATTCTGTCTGATGCACTCAAAACCACAAAAACCAACAACCAAGTCAAGTTTAGGAATATACTTTGTTACACAAAGCATATATAATACTTCACTTGTGGCATCTTACAACTGTCAAGCAACTTGGCAAACTTCTTTTTTTATGCTGCAGAGCCAAGCTCCAGGATCCCCTGGTTTTGTTAGAACCACAGTGTATGAGAAGGATTTTACAGGAATGGCTTGTCTTTCTAGAAGAAAAGTTCGGCAGCAAAGAGCATTCTGCTTCCTCTGTTGAGAAAAGCAAGCCTGTGTGTGCTGAAGAAGAGAGGGCAGTCCTGGAGGAAAACCTACGGCTGGATCCAACAGATGGAGACCCAGCAGCCAAAGAACAGAGCAGTATCTTGGAAGACTGTGCTGAAAAGGACAATACTGATGAAACCTGTGTAAGCAAAGCCATGTGTGAAAATAGTACTGATCTGAAGGGACCTTTGGACTGCAGCTTTCAAGTGTCGTCTCCATGTGTCATAGAACCAGATGTTAAGAAAGATCTCGTTGAGTTGACAACACTGTGTTTTGAGCTGCGTGTATTTTCTTGTGGAAATGGTGAGGCAGAACACGGCTCTGGTGGAACACTGCCCCTAGCAGCTTTGTGGACCTTGGCTTGTAGGTTTATGCGAAGCTATTTCTTTCTTTTGGATTTAAAAAGACTAAAGCAGTGTATTATAACCATGTACGCAACCAGTCCTAATGTATGGGAAACATACATCGCAGGATTGAAAGGTAACTAATGAAAATGTTATTACTAGTAAACTGGAAGTAAGACTGTTGGGGAGAAAAAAGAAGAAAAGCTTGAAGACACTTCCATTTGTGTCTGCAAGTTTTCCTTCTGCAGGTGTGGTGTGGGAGGATGTTGGGTGTGGGGGACTTCTTGTTCCATTTTAGGGTTGTTTGGCTCTCTGTTTTTCCCCCAGAGGATAACTTATGAAGAACTTCTGTCTCCTTGGTGAAAATCTTCCTCCTCTCTCCCTACTTTGAAATTCTACAGGAACTACTTCTGAACCTCTTAATTTATATGCAGTTTGTTGGTTGAACACTGTAGTGATTACGGACCAGATCTATTTAAAAACAAATATATGTGCTTCAAAGAGCAAAAGCGTCTTAATCAGAATCATATGTCTACAGAAACAAGGCAAAAGCTAGGAGAGGGGCTTCAGTGTTTGCACTGCAAATGGGAGATTTAACTTATAGAGAAATACGGTTAATGTGAAAGAAAACTGAATGGAATAGATGGTTCCATGCAAATGAGTGGCTTGTGATCACTTCAGACTTCCCTTTTCCACAGAAACCCTTTCTGATCTTTTTAATGCCTCTCTAGCCTTACTGAACCAAAGCTTCCTGATTATATTGGAAAACAGAACTTCATCTATTTTCTGCATTCAGCTTCTGCTTTATGCATCTCTTTTACAAGTGAATTAAAGCCTTGGCATTGATTTGGAACCAACAAAGAAGTAGTCTAACAACAGAATCTTGCTTTGAGTGTTGGTGTCTGGTATTTGGGTTTCTGGGAATCTGTTTGCTATTTGGATTCTGAGAGCCTTAGAAGTGAAAGTAATGTATGCATTCCCAGTTTGTCCTCAGTGGGACTGCACTGGTGCCTGTAGATTAAGACCCGCATCTCATCAGGATCGAGGTTCGTGTTGAATTCTGCATTCTGTGAAGTCAGTGTCCAAGCTGTAGTTTTTATTCATTAATAGAAGCAAGTGGTAATATATGAAAACTGAGGTCGATCTGCATTATACTCAGCAAGCCATATGTCCTGCAGTGGCTGTCTTTTTTCACATGAGAGAAAAATTACCTCTTCAGAAGTCTAAAGAATTAAAGGAAAATATATTAAAAAATATTAACCATGCCTTAATTGTATAATTTATAACTGTAATTTGCTGTAATTGCAGATCAGTTATGTTGATGGCTATGAAATGAACAAGTAGGATCTGTTGACTAGTTACTACTGTTAGCTAGATTTCCATGATGTAGTGATAACTTTCTGTTCTTACTCTTAACAACAGCTGTGTGTGTTAAGAAAACAAAACGTGTAACATGCACTAATTTATTTCAGAACTAACTTGTCACAGTCCAGTAGCTTTAGCAATGGAAAATGAAGATGATATGTTGAAAATACTGAAACAGCTGCATGACCTGGGGCCTTGGGATGATAGCCCGCTGTTACTGGTACATGCTCAAAGGTTTGTAGCCAAGTCCTTTTTTTCTCTTCTTCAGTGTTGTTAACCTGGCTATCAGGAATTGGTTCACTTAATATTTCATGAAGTTTTCTGGGAATCTTTTAAAGAAATTGCCTTTCAGTGTTATCTTGAACTTGCAAGAGATCTTGGAAAAATGATAATTTTGCTGCTTGGTGCTGAAAATTGTTTTTATCCTCTTTCTTCAGGCTTTATGAAAAATTTGGGGACACAGCTCTTCGGCCCTTGATCAAGTTCCACCCCTCTATTTTGCCTTCTGATATCAAACAGCTTTGCAGGAATGATCCAGCTCACTTTTTAGCATATTTAGATAGTCTGGTGAAATCAAAGCCAGAGGAGAAAAGGTAAAAGGAATACAGAGTCTTCTCCATCTGTCTGCTCTCTGCATCATTTAGCTGTGTGGGGTTTTTTTGGGTTTGTTTTTTGGAGTCTTTTTTTTACTGTTTCTGTCTCTATCTGCTCGGGGTTCTTTAGCATTAGATTCCAATTAATTCTGACAGTTTTAGTTGGTCTCTCAGAATGTTGTTGGTTTTTTTTTTTGTTGTTTTTTTTGTTAGATTAGATGCTACTTTTAACTGGATTTTTCTAAATAATACTTTCAATAGAATCTTAGAATGGTTTGGGTTGGAAAGGACCTTAGAGATAATTGAGTTCCACCCCCCTGCCATGGGCAGGGACACCTCCCAGTAGCCCAGGTTGCTCAAAGCCTCATCCAGCCTGGCCTTGAACCCCTCCAGGATGGGGCATCCACAGCTTCTCTGGGCAACCTGGGCCACTGCCTCACCACCCTCACACTGAAAAACTTCTTCCTAATGTCTAGTCTAAATCTCCTTGTCCTATCACTACACTCCCTGGTAAAGAGTGCCTCCCCATCTCTCCTGTAGGAGAACAGAATAGAACTGACTATTTTTGTTCCTGTGCCTGCAGTTCAGTATACCAAGTTTATACAGCATTTAAAAAAAAAAACACACACACAACCAAACAAGCAAACAAACCTAAAAAAAACCAAACCAAAAACCCCCACAACCCTAGGGGAACCCAGCCTGCAAACATGATTGTTTTCTGTGGTCCCCTCAGTTTCTAGAAACATAAATAATTCTAGGCTTTTCTATATTTAATTTTACATACATGTTTTGTTTTGTGGGGTTTTTTTGTCTGCAATCTCTACTTCTCCATATCTGGTATACTTATAACTGCTAGGTTTTTTTCTGTGTTTTGTTTTCTAGGTCATCTCTCCTTAGATCTCTTCTGCAGCCCGAATCTGTACGACTGGATTGGTTGTGTTTGGCAGTTTCTCGTGATGCCCCACAAAGAGCAGATACTGTGGATGCAGAAGGAAATCCCAGGTAAAGCAGAGTTCACCCAAAGTCCTGAGTGCAGCAAAAAGCTTTAATGGGTCTGCAAGCTTTTGGCTTAGATCTTGTATGACAGTTTGGGTGTCCCTGAATCTGTGGAGCATTTTGCATATTGCAAAGTTCAGCAGAAACAACCAAAGATTAAATAACTTTATCTGTAACGTTTTTCAGAGTGACTGTTCCACTGAGACTACGAAGTGTTTCATTCATTTTTCCTTCTTTCTTTTCATATACCTGCCTATCTTGTAGAGAGAACACAATGTTCTGAAGAAAACCATTAATGTTTACAACTGAATTTCTTGTGTTCTAGGCCACGATCGCACTTGTTTACTTGGGGCTACAGCCAGCTCATTATGCTTTTGATTAAACTCCCAGCTGATTTTGTTACAAAAGAGAAGATGGCTGACATCTGTAGATCACATGGGTAAGGAGAAAAGTTGGTAATTCTTGATACTTAGTTGGTATTCTGACCTCAAAAAGATACAGATGAAAACTGCCCATCTGCTTCTTACTTTGACAGGTTTCATGTAAAAACCTTTCCTGTTTTGAGGATGAATATTGAGTGTCCAGTTTCATGTAGCAAATACCCCTTTTGGTTAAGGGGTATTCCCTGTGTCCCTGCTCTGCAGTGACTCCTGGCATTCAAGAAATTCAGTTGCTTCTGTCTTCACTGATATTTAAATGAGTATTTAATTATTGTTGACTTTAGTTTAGATGGAGTATTTGATTCCTGGAAATCTTTACTCTCTTATTCAAGATTTTGGCCTGGATATCTTTTTCTCTGTCTGGAGCTGGATAGAAGAAGAGAAGCCTTTACTAATATTGCTCACTTGGATGATTTGAACCTGTTGAATGGAGATGATGGTTAGTGAGTCTTATGCTATTTAAACATATTTCTGTAATATAGGAACTGCCCTTATTATATACTGATTCAGTTTGTCCAAAGTTGAGTTGAAGTTTTCTTTTTTGTAGTGTTTTGGTAGCACTGTGTCATGCAGCATATTTAAAATACATAAATGGGCGCTACACTCTTGTATCTTCACGCTCTGCTTTGTGAAATCAGTTGTGATAGAAATGCTTAAAAAATCAAGAATGCAGAGTTGTTTATCAGCTGTGAGTAAAAGCTAAACTTGGTGTTGTAGCTAGAGGAATAGCTAGCCTGCCTGCACAGAACAAAACTCCCCCCTGCTACCCGTCCGCACACACAAAGTTACAACACGCAAAGTGTTGTATCACATGGCAGAACTTAGAAGAAAATTCCCAGTAGCCCAAAGATGGACAAAATGATTCTTTGTCTCTTGGCTTAATCCAAAGGCTCAAATACTGAACTATTGCGAAGCTTTGCGTGAAGTTCACCACTGAATCTTTACACTGAGTCAGACAAGGCAGTATAATTCTGTACACAATTTGCTTGTTTATAACACTCTGTTTTCTTAAATCTTCACCAAGAAAAACAGAATAGCAAGCTTCCCTTTTAAGTACAGATATGTTTAAAATAGTAGGCTTAGAATAACACTTGTTTTACGAATAATGTAACAAACTTATTTTACATCTAGGCTCCATTCCAGAGACCATCGAAGAATGGAAGTTTCTTCTGCATCTTGCACAAAACCACAGCACAGCTTTCCACCACCATGGCCCACAGAATGGGAATGCTGTCAGCAACGGTAGCCCGAGCTGCCCAGACTGTGTCACTGTGGAAAATGTGGCTCTCTTACTGGCAAAGGCCATTGGCCCAAATCGTGCCTTGCCTCTCTTGCAGGAGTGTGGCTTGACACTAGAATTGTCTGAGAGATTTACTGGTGTCTGTGAGATCCTGAGAATTGCTGAGAAGAGGCAAAGGTAAGACAATGTGTCAGCAGAAGATCCACGTATGCACACCATTTGGGATCTTCTTGGTGCTTTGGACTTCCTTTTCAGTTAAAAAAAAGTTAAAATACTTGACATTTTTACTTTGTATTTTAAACTCGAATGAAAGCTTTTCTATTATTTGAGAGCTATGTGTTGTGCAGTATAGGCATTTTAAAATGGAAAATGAGGAAACAGGAAATGGTACATAAAGATGTATGTGAAGAGATCCCCAGAAGGACATATCTGAGTCCTGCACAGACTCTGCTCTCACCTCTCCCTTCTAGAGAAGGCATGTGTGGCGCTGTCATGATGTTACCTCTGAAACAGAATCATGTTTTTGACAAACTTTTATTTAAAAAACAAAACAAAACTTTGTTGTTCTTTCTGTTGTTAGCTTATTTTTTTACTGTTTGACTTTTTTTCCTCCCCTTTGCTTTAATTGCAGAGCGCTGATCCAGTCCATGTTGGAAAGGTGTGACCGGTTTTTGTGGTCTCAGCAAGCATAGAAAACAACTTGGAAAGCTTTGGGAACATTTTGTTACTGTAATGATTGTATATTAAAGTGCCTCTTAAACTTCACAGGCCTTAAAGAAATGAACTCCTCTCTAAAATTCAATTATATTGAGCCAGTCTCCATCTGGCAGGTATCTGACCGGGAACTATTGATGTTTCTTCCTTATTCCTTTGGAGATTAATTTTGAACTAAATCTTAAATCAAAATAATCCCGTATTTACCTGGAAATTAAGCTCACTGATTTTTGAGATGAAAAGTCCTGAATTTATTTTCCAAGTCTATATGACCTAAGGATATGAGCCCCTAAGTATTAAATTATGGTGTATAAAATTGTTTCTTTGTTTGTTGGCAAGAAGCCATTCCTCAGAAATATCGAAGCATGTACTTGTTTAATTTTCCTGTAAATGACATTGACTTTTTCAAGATACTGTAGAGACAGACACCCACCTTGCTGCAACCTCCCTTCAGGTAGTTGTAGAGAGCAGTAAGGTCTCCCTTCAGCCTCCTTTTCTCCGGACTAAACGACACCAGTTCCCTCAGCTGTTCCCCATAAACCTTGTTCTCTAGGCCCTTCTCCAGCTTCGTTGCTTGTCTTGGGACGTGCTCCAGCACCTCGATGTCTTTCTTGTGGTGAGGAGCCCAAAACTACACCCTGTATTCGAGCTGTGGCCTCACCACGGCCGAGTATAGGGGGACAATCACTTCCCTGGTCTTGCTGGCCACACTGTTTCTGATACAAGCCAGGATGCCATTGGCCTTCTTGGCTACCTGGGCCCACTGCTGGCTCACGTTCAGCTGGCTGTCAAGCAACACCCCCGGGGTCTTTTCCTCTGGGCAACTTTCAGCCACTCTTCCCCAAGCCTGTAGCATTGAATGGGGTGGTTGTGACCTGAGTACAGGACCCAGCACTCAGCCTTGTTGAATCTCATACCTCAGCCCGTCCATCCAGCCTGCTCAGATCCCTCTGTAGAGCCTTTCTACCCTCCAGCACATCAACACTCCTCCCAACTTGGTGTCATCTGCAGACTTTCTGAGGGTGCCCTCGATCCCCTTGTCCGGATCGCTGATAAGGATATTAAACAGAACTGGCCCCGGTACTGAGCCCTGGGGAACACCACCTGTGACCAGCCACCACCTGGATTTATCTCCGTTCACCACAATGCTTTGGACCCGGCTATCTAGCTGGTTTTTTACCCAGTGAAGCATATACCCATCCAAGCCATGAGCAGCCAGTTTCTCCAGGAGAATGCTCTGGGAAATTATGTCTGTCAAAGGCTTTACTAAGGTCCAGATAAAGTTTGGCAATTCCACAATGAATTCTGACATTTTGGAAAGTGAGAGGACTGCATCTCTTATGTGAATAATTCTTTAAAAAGATGAAGGTTTAGACAAGTATATTTAGATGGATGCTGTCAAGAAAGAAGTCTTTAAAATTCTGCTAGAATATGAAGATTCATAAAATCACTTGGATTTTATTTCTCATTTACAGAACTATGCTTTATACCAGCACTCTTTCTGCACTTTAATACATCTTTGAACAAGTTTCTTTTTAGGCTTCTAGTTTTGGCCCTTTTCACTGTCAGACTCCTGTTTTTAGCAGAAGGCCATGGCTTCTGGTCCATATTTGATTTTCACAAATGTAATTTAAACCAAAAAAATTAACACGTGTTGGAACTAAATTCCCTCCAAAATGCATAATTTTGTCCTGAAATGACTTGAAAATATTTTTTTATAAAGATGTAGAAGGCATCTTTTTAGGTAGTCTTGCAGCTCTTCTACTGCTGTGAAATAATGCTTTTATTTTTATCAAAATAGGAGTTAGTAATACAACTTTCAGACTGTTCCATCTTAGTTATAGGAAAGACTTTAGTGGAGAGGGTTGGTTACTTCACTAGAGGAAGTTACAGGGAGAAAATTAGTGGCAAGCTTTCATCTGTTCATAGTGTTTCTTGTGGAAAAACCCATACAGAACTATTTAGAAAACTAAATTTTTGGAGTTTTAGCATTTGACATTGGAAACAGCACAAACCCTTCTGTCAGAACCATCCCCTGCTCTTATGTAAGACTTGGAATAGGAGTGGTGAGGCTACACAAATCGCTGAAGTTGGTGCCTGTTCTCTTACCTGCCAAATGCGCCTGCTGCTCGCTCAGTGGCTGCTGCACTACGCTGACCCCATTTTGTACAGTGTGTCAATGTCGTACTGACTACTGATGGTGTCCTCCTCAGAGGAAGTTGGTTTTCCAAGAATGTACCCAGTTTATCACTGCACCTAACAGTTCCACTTTATTTGCTCAGTGTATTTTGTGTACACAGCAGTCTCCTACATCTGTGGGGTTTTTGTACACTTGGTTAACTTTGGGTGAGGGTTGGGGCTTTTGGGGTTTTTTTTACAATAAATCATAACTTTCCCTTTAAAGCTTTTTTATGATGGGAAATGTTTGTTCACATCTGGTGTCTAAAATGAGCTTGTGTTGATTTCAAGTAACCTAGCTGTCAATAAAGAGTAAGAATTTACTCTTTGAAGAAGCATTGGAAAAGCGCTGTTTCCTATTCTTGATACATGTTTTCACCTCATATGGGTAAGGTGAAGGGACTGTGAAATGAAATGGTCTCCTGTTTAGAAGTTACAGCTGTATAGACCAATGCACTCTCCTAAAGCTACAGCCCCTACCAGCCCTTGTCAACCAGCTGAGCGTACACCACGGATAGTTTAAGCCAAACTGCACTGGAGCAGATGAGATGCAGCTTGTCTTTGGTTTTGGTGACCAACTGTTGGTGGAGGGGACCCTTGAAAAGCAGAGATGAATAAAGCGGGCTTTGCCTGCGACAGCTTTAAATGGAAGCTAGGGTTTGGGTTTTTTTCCCAAAAAATTAAATATAAAAGTCTCATACTTGCCTAAAAATGTTAGTTCACTGTTGGACTCATTGTCAAAACCTATGGGGAAATCAATTTTATTTAAGATAAAATATCTGTAATCTGTTTCTTGGAGAGTGGACAAGGCTGCAGTTGTTCTACACGTCCATAAGCCTAAGGCCAATGATAGTAAATATTCCATACAGCAGTATGGCAAAACTCCTGAATTCTTGCCAGTGTAAACAAGGTGCTGTTACTTCCCAGAATAAGAAATAACAGCATCTGTTATTGGGCCTGAGCTGGGAATTCACCTTGTCCCCTTTCTCAGTCTAAGACTTATTTAGATTGCAAAATGCTTACATTGTGGAATGTTTGCAGTGTAGCTTCCACGTATTGATACTTAGAATTAAAAGGCAACAAGCTTGAGGTTGCTTTTTATCTTACCAGAACTTACAGGCGAAGAAAACGTTCTCCGAGGGGTCTCTGTATGTGTTGTGTTTCCCCAGTGTGCACACGCAGCCTGTGTTTCAGTGCTAGGCCAGGAAAGAATATTTCATTCAACTCTTCTGTGTGCTCAGGGACAGCTTGCCTGTTCCTGTTGCAAAAGCAACAGTTTTAGCTGCAATATGTTTCTGTGGGCCAAGGGCTGTGACCTTGAAAGCAGGCCAAGAGGATACGGGAAAGCAGTGCTCAGGCTGTTAGCTGCTGGAGCACAGAGCTGGTGCTTTATCTCAGTTACTGTTATGCTGTTAAGCATCAGATCCACAGGTGGTGGGGGACAAAATTATGTGTCTGATGCCCTGCTTTTTGCAAAATTTCCTTCTCCATTGAGTTAGGATTTAGGTTCTCTTTGTCTCAATTTGTTCCATTTAGGGATACACTGTACTAGAGAATATCTGTCCTTGTGCTCCAGGCCTGTCTGTGGAAAATGTCTCCTCTTCCCTTAGGCTGAGTTCTTGTTTGAAGTCCAGCAATGCTGTAGGAAGTTAGCTGTTGGCACTTTATTAGATCAATTTGTTAGTGCACCTCTTTTACCTCATGCTACTGCCCTTCAGCACCAGTGGCTAATTGTTTAACGTGGCAGAATTGTGAATGGTGCAACAACTACACATACCTCTTCTGCAGATAATTTAAAGAAGCTCTCTTAGATCACGTATGAGACCACAACAGGGGGGACACATCTACACTTGCAGTCTGACATGCAGCTGCACTCAAAGCCAGAGCTTTTTGCAGGGCAACAGCTGGGTCTGTTGTTAAGCCAGGGAAGCAAGCACCAAGCAGGCTTTTGACCTGGCTGCTAAGCAGAGAGAGCACAGGGGGTACTCAAACTATGAACCATGCTAATAGGGCTCCCCAGCTGATATATTGATCTTAACATCTAGCAGAGTTCTGACTGTATGGATCTTACCTTCCCCTTAGGTAAACTGTTTACTATGACATCAGAAACTCTCCTTAGTTTAGCCTATTTGAGCCCCACTGAGCTGCTGTGCTTCAAGGTACGGTGCAGACAATCAGGCACCTTCTCCTCCGAGCTCTGTCCAGGGCAAGAGCTGAACAGAAGTCTCACCCTTACGCCAACTGTAACACTTCAAGCGCACAGAACACGTCAATCTTTGAGGCAGTTTCTCAGCCTGCTTGTTTTGAAGATCAAATAATGTTGTGGACAGCTGAAGAAGCACCACAAACTTTCTGAAAAATTGTGTAACAGGAGCTATGAACTTTCAGTAAAGGACAAGGACAGGCTTACCGTAATGATTTCTCTGTTGGAAGTGAACTGGTGGTGGGGAATTCCCAGCCATGGGTGTCCTTTCCAGTTTCCTCTTTTAAGAGATTTGAATTCCTTATAAATACCCTCTCTGAGTCTGAGAGCACATGAGACAAGCTCCATCTCCTGTAGCTTTGCCTTTCTGTGGTGGTGAGTGATATTCTGAATTTGTGAGCTATATGTAGTGTTTTTAGCTGGTATTTAGGAACAGGACTAATGCTTTAGCATGTGGGGCTTCTCTGTACTCATGATGGGAGCAGCAGGGAATGCTAAAATGCAAGTTTCTCATGTTCATATGCCTCTATTGCAGAGGCCTGAGCTGAGCTTGTGGTTGCAGAGAGGTCATCAGTCTTTGTAGGGACAGAAGCGGGTTCCTGGGCTGGCCGTCAGTGCTGGGGTAGCTGCCCAGGCACAGCTATGGATGTGATGGATGCTGTCAGCAGTCTCTTCAAAGGTGCTCCAGAACCAATAATCTCTCTGTTTGTCTCACAGCTCTGTGTCAGGCTTGGGCCGGGAACCATGAGGCTGTGTGTCTGCTTTGTGTTGCTCTCCTTTATTCTGTGTGCAAGTGCTGACTTACGATTTGCCTGGGATGCAGTGAGAGGTAAGCTGCTGTTACCATGGGCCCCTCTCTCAGGAACCCCCTTGCTGAACACAGGTTACCAGCAGTCAATGGACGCAGTCCTCGGAGCTGGGAAGTCTGCAGCTCCATATCAGGGACCCCACTGGTTTCTACTGCTGGAAGAGGGCCTTGATCAGCCCCCACAGGCCTTTTCTATGGGCACAGGATGATGTGGAGAAGGGCCTCTCTGTGTTACTGCTCTTTGGGCTATTCAGCTCCTGGCTGAAATGGTACTTTTTCTGGGATGACTCTTTAAAGTCAATATAATCTCTATTTCTCTGCTTTCTTCAGGGGCAGGGGATATGGCCAGAGCATACTGGGACATGCGTGAGGCAAATTACAAAGGTGCCGACAAATATTTCCACGCTCGTGGGAATTATGATGCTGCCCGAAGAGGACCTGGTGGTGCTTGGGCAGCCAAAGTGCTCAGGTAATGGAGCATATTTGGCTCGTTAACAGTGAGTTACTAGGGATCCAGGCATTCCAGTCAGAGCAAAGTCCTTTTTGACTTGTACTCGGCTGTTGATGTAGGACAGTGGAGGGGAGGGGAAGCAGTTACTGACAGCCTGTCTCTGTGGGAATTTTTCTTCCCCCAAGTGTGAGCCTTCTCGTCCTCCCGAGAAGGCAGATTCGTCACTGGTGATAAGGAACTCTGTCCTTGGGGTGTGTTTGCTGACAACCTCAGTTACGTGTTCCGCGGCGGTTCTCAGGCAAGGACTGAGTGTGTGCTCGCATCTCGCTGTGAGAAGTCCTGTGGAAAAGCTGCTTTTACCTCCGTGAGGGAATCAGCCCAGCGGAGTTAAACGCTGCTCGGTTCAGGTGCCTTTTCTATTCCTGCCAGTGACTTACGGGAGAAATGGCAAAGCGACGTGAGCGGCAGAGGGGCAGAGGACACCCGGGCTGACCAGGAGGCGAACGAGTGG